GGTGTATGTCTCTGCTGGTTAAGACCCACCATGCCTGACTGCTCCATCTATAGGGCAGTGTATGTCTCTGCTGGTTAAGACCCGCCATGCCTGACTGCTCCATCTATGGGGAGGTGTATGTCTCTGCTGGTTAAGACCCACCATACCCTTGATACATTGGGCCAACAGAGAGAGTTCAATGTTGGCCCCCTTGTGCAAGGCCCTTAAACCCTATTTTTCCAGGGGATTGGCTACATCACTTTGGATAAAAGTGTCTCTTAAAATAGATGTAAATGTCTATGTGCAGTGCTGCACTGCATATTCAGTGCCAATAAAATGCACTGTTAGAACTTTGTATTTTTGCTATGACATGTGACTTTACGTGTGCAGGAAACATTTTGTCCTTCTGCCGGTTTCAACTATCTGGGAGAGAATGGGAATTCGTACACTCTGCCATTCTGTCTGTATTGCTCATGTTCAGAGATATTTATATGTCCTGGTGCTGAACTTACTTGAAATGCAGAGGTTTAGAAAGCTGTAAGTCATTAAGGATTAAGAAGACTGAGAATGGTTTACATTACTTCCTGGCTTGCAATCTGGTGTTTTCTTTCAGTTCCTTTTACTATACTGGTGCATGGAGAGTGGATGTTCAAAAAGGCACAGGAATGAGATAACTAGTTTTTCTGAGTATAGATGACCTGTCTTAGGGGTCTAGCTACTTATCACAATTGTACATTACAAACCATGTCTGTAGAAGACATTGATGAAAATGATAGCTTCTTGTGTGTTTGTCTTCAATTGTACTCTCATCAGCAGTTTGTCAAAGGAATTTGGGTAAAGTAGTCCATCAGTGGGTTAGAGGCACAGCTTCATAAATCAGGCTCATAAAGTAGGCCTCAGAAAGCGCAGAACCTGAAAGAGTTTTATTGTTTGTGGTGTACTGCAATTTCAGACCCGCTGGAACTAAGGCTCACTAGTAAATGCAGGAAACATTTCATCTTCATCTTACTGAGGAATCCCCAGGGCTGACATAGCCACAGAAAGCTGAAGTAAGAGAGGATTCTGGGAAACATCCAAGAACAATGATCCATAAAGGTTTACTGAGATTAAGGTCGCTTTTGCCCAGTCAATTAATTCCATTTTATGGAAAGCACAGGAGAGATTTTGATTGAGTTATGGCGACTATGAATCTATCGTTCCACAATCGTCAATCAGCATTTAGATACGATCATAAGCTGGGCACGTTACTGTGTGGGGGACATCTAACTTCAAACTGACTGTTTGGATTATTTTTTATCTGTTTTCTGTTAACCATTCCAAATTCCCATATAAAACATTGATACTGGAAAACTCCGGGTCAGTGTACGAGTCACAGAGAACAGCATGGGAAAGTATGTGACTCATCGGTCGAGGCCATGGACTCACAGCCCACTGATCTGTCAGCTTAGATCCTCAGAAGGTCTCTGCTGTAGGACCATCAGCTTCTGCAACATGGTATCTAGCTGTTAAAATGCATGCAGTTAAAAAGTAATTTTGGATAAAATCAGTTTCTTTGCTTTGCGTTATCCAATGAAATGTGCACAGTTCATGTGGCCCATTCAGAACTAAATGCTGAAGGGATAATCTTGCATCGGAA